TCACTAGTTCAAGTGCTGATGCAAGTCAATCCTGAAGAGACGTTTTGAATTTTGAGGGAGAGAATTGCATTCCGAACGTTCTTGCATTGTTGATTAAGCAGGTCAGAATACTCTGCATATCCACCAAACAGACATCTGTTTTCGGCATATTCTAAGTCAACAAGTGAACCTCCCGGTATAAGTTCAACTCCTGAAGAGTCATATGATGAAAGTGTCGTTTCTAGAAGCATGTGTATGACGAAGTTGAATAAGAATGGGGAATGTGTACAGTCCTGACGAACAACACTCGAGATAACCCATTTCAAAGACAGTTTGCCATAAGCTGTAACTCGAGCAGTATTGTTCGAGTGGAGATCCTGTACGCTGTTAATGCACTTCTTTGATACATTTCTCGATGACAGACACTGCTAGAGAACCTCACGACCAACAGAAATAATTAAAAGCTACCTTAAGGTTTAGGAATACAGCTATTGTCACACGTCGAAATATGTTTTAGGACCTTTCGAAATGCGTATATCTGGTCTACACAACCACGTCCATGTCTGAAACCAATCTGGTTTTCTGTATTTCTCTCTTCACGAGCTCTATTTAGACGCTGAAGTATTACTGACCTTAACATTTTAGGTATTATATTATTTAAACTGACTCATCTGCGATTGTCACAAGAGGACGTTTTTCCCTTCTTGTAGACTGGGACAATCAGTGATTGAGACCAGTTGGAAATCTCTCTGTTAATTCATCTTTTACCTCATCTGAGCTGCAACCTGTTTGAATGTAGGTGAAGAAGCAACGCTCAATTTCATTATCTTTATGAGTCCTTACTATCCTGTTTAGCTGGACAGTTCGTAAGCGACTGTCTACTAGGATCCCGTCTGAGAGAGCTACTTCTGCTTTAGAACTCAATTCTACACCTTCACCAGAGAGGCCACAAGGAATTTTAGTGGGGAATCAGTTCACACATACTGTAAATCGAGTTTGTTATTTATTTTAACGGGGTTGGGTCAAATGAATTATTCTCCTCGGATCCTGTATGCGCGTTACGGAGACGCAGCATACATCGATAGCATGAGATTATAAAGTCTTATTTAAGGAAGGCTGTTTTCCCATCTGGCACAGGGTTTGAACAATAAATGCTCCAACATGTAGTTAGGAATGTAGTTTCTGGAGATCAGCAATAACTTTTCTTGTATTCAAATAGTTTCCATCTGCGGCGCCATATGATATAGGAATGTAAATAGGGTTAGGCGCGTAAATAAGAGTTTTATTTTCTCTATCATTTCATCCCATCATACACTATCTGAAAAGTTTCAACTCTCAGGTTTCGTGCTGAACTAATGTTTTACTGGCCAAGTTTCTCCTGGATAATTTTTCAGCCTTGCTATACCATATCATCTTAAGAGTTGCCTTAAAAACCTCTCTCTCTCCCTTTTATTATAGATGATAAAGGCAATCAGTTATTATTTCTGATGATAAGTTAGAAAATGAATAAAAATGCCCATAATATATTGAGAATAAATATACTTAAATGTTCATAATAGCTATTAACATAATTTTCAACATACTTTAGCACATATAGTTAGTAATTTGGTGCGTCAGGGTTCACTGTGCTTTCAAAGTTCATTCTTCATGGTGTAATTCACTTTACTCCACTTCCATTGTTGTGAGTAATGATCCTGATAAATGTACTCAGATTAAGTATCTGATCTGTTATAAATCCAACACTGAAAAGACTAACGCAGATTAAACGAAGCAGCCATCAACATTTTCAACACTGTACGGCAGTTATCATTTTGGATGGCCTACTTCATTTTGCTGGATGACATAATGATACGATGGAGAATCTGACATGTTTTGCATAGAACACCACTGCAATAGGTAACTTAATGAATCCAAGACAATCCTACTAATTTGCTTGTAGTGCTCATGAAGTCAGTGCTGAGCAGGTCGAATGACTAATACATAGTTGACAGACTGCTTATCCGTGTAGAGATTTTGAGTAGCATAAACGGATTTCGACTTCCTTGGAATGCTAAATCTACTTTATTTAATTGAATCTTAACTATTACTTCCGAAATAGGATACTTATTCATAAAATAGTTTATTCGCTAACAACCTCAAGATAGTTTCCAGTCATTTGGTTTCTTCTTTTTGCATCATAATACAAGTAAATTTCATTGTAATCCGCTACTAATGAAAAACTCAATTCATTTTCCCCTGTATGAATAGTGATGTTACATGTAGACTTGATCAAAGAAATAAAGTATTTAATCACAACCAAAATCAAATTAATTTTCAATTGAAGTTAGCTCTTTAGGTGCATCTGAATCTTATTAATCGCATTGTTTTCCTACATACTCAAGGATCTTCCTGAAAACCGATCTAATCGATAAGTATAAAATCTAATACTGACAGTAAAGATTAGGTGATTTCTGAAGAAACTGAAATACATTAGAATTTTAGTGGTTTAACAATCGAACAAAATGAGCTTGCATAAACAAGGATATTTAGACTCGAACAAAAGATTATTTTCAGAAGACAAACAATTTGGAAATTGCCTGCATTTTAACATGATGGTCACGCATGTACCATACTTTTAAAAATATTTAATCAGTGACCTTATTAAACTAAAGCCAGGAAAATATTCTGTTGTGTAAAAGAAAAGTGTTTATTAGAAATGTGGATTAGCAAGCGTTTACTAACAAGTTAAACTGAAATCTAATATAAGCATTTGTAGAACATATTTCAATGCAACTGAACCGATTTACGTTGACTATCTGATATCTTAATTTTCGAGTTTTTTCACTGATAGCTGTTCACGAAATGTTATTTATGTATTGAAATAAATTGAGTGTTTTGACAGTAATTGTCTGGATTGTTAAAAAATATGTTTGATTTAATTTTGTCAAACGTCACCACAAAATTATGATAAGTCAAACTTCATGTAAATATATATGAAGAAGACATCTGGTTGGGATTACGATACTTAGTGGTATAAATAAACAGATCAAAATTAGCGAAAAATTTTCCATACAAATACTTAGTAAGAAGACGAAAAGTAAGAAATATTTTTTTCTATCAGTTTCTTATCATGACTCTACAAGTATTTTACAGTATAATTTAACAATGTAGCAGTCAAAGTCTCATTCACATCAACTGGATGTTCTGTGTACACCAAGTAAACGAGAACGAAACCCCCGATTATTCTTAACTGCCCTTTACTCAACCAGGCTGAACTTTGTTCAGTGATACAATGGTGAACTTTTGTAGGCCCTATGTAACTCGTTTCGTAGAATCAGTCAAACTATCTAATAGACATTGATATGGCGAATCCCGGTAATCTTAATTAGTGGTTCTTGATATGGAATGACTAAAAAGTCATATTTAGTTTGGCTACAGTGAATGTTATTTTACAGCTTTACTTCGTTTTAGAAGTTACTTTTATTGAAATTATGAATCTATCAATGTTAGACCATCATTTGAAATGTGGAAGCACTGGATAGCCATCTGGTCCGACTATGGGGCTTATAAATAGTGAGCATCCACGACCCAAGCACGTGGGAATCCAACCCAGAACCTCCGGTCTCGCGCGTGGATGCTTAATCTCTAAACGACTAAGTTGACATCCGACGGTGTTAACGCCTGACTTCAACCATTGTCTTTGGTGTGTAACTGCCTCACACCGGAAAAGGTTAAACTCCACTAGTCACGGCTTCTCATTTGAACTCTGGGAATTTCCTCACAAAGCTAGTCACTAGCGAACACACGATAAGTGTCATCATAAAGTTAAAACTCAACATTCTCCACAACCCTATAAGTAAAGTTACGTCTTCTGAACGATTGTAATCGTCAGACTTTTGTCTCGTTCGCTTTTTCCGTGAAGAATTCGGTAGGATAGCTACTCCCATTAAGAAGGTCACAAATACTTATCAGTCCATCTTCGGCAGTGCAATCGGATCAAGTCGTTTTATCGCGACAAGCATGGAATTTCACTTTTATATCAATCAGATATCATATGGTAGAAATACTCAGGCCAATCACTAGTTTGCTATATATACCTATTCTTAATGCCTCACCTGAACTTCTTGCTAATCTGACATCTAAATAGTACTTCTAGGGCGTCTCATGTGAAGACAAAAAGGTCATCCAGTGATTCCAGGTTTTTATTAGTGCTCTAAGGCTAGTTATTGAGTCAAACTATAAAAATTCTATTTCAGTTGCACCAAGATAGTATTATTATCCAACTTCTTGTTCCCAAATTAAAAGTATTTAAATAAACTATGAAGTGGTAGGAAGCTTGCAACAGAAGGATCACACTTTTTTAACCAGTTAGGTATTTTAAAATACACAGCTATAAACGTAGAAAAAAAAAACAGTAGCCAGCTTATGACCCATCACCTAATATACAGATTCGATGAATGGTGATTCCAGTTGTGAAAGGAATCGTACTTCTTAATCACGGTTCAGTAAAATGTTCAAATGTTATGATAAAATATGGAGGTGATAGTGTTGTAAATCGATTTCTGTGCTGAAACACTTGTCAGTCTGAAGTTATTATTTCTCGGTCTTCACAGTCCTCCCTTTATTTCATTCTCACAATTTATTCTTTCAATAACCTAAACCAATATGTGCTTACGGTATATTCTAGGTTGTTGTAGTTATTCTCAGCTAAAAACACTTGTGGCAATACATTTTTTTACAATTTTTACAAACAACTGTTGACAGTTAATTCAAATTGTTAACATTATAAACGATACTTAAAGATTCTTAAGTTCATTGAAAACATAACGAGAATTAGAAACATCTTCATAAAAAAGGAAAAAACATCAGTTAAGTAGTAAAATAAAATGATGCATACCAGTTCGAAGACTTAAGCAAATTGGCTCGTTTCGATAAATAAAAGATTTAGTTGCAATTTAAATTAACCAGGACCATGAAGCACTTCAAAAACAGGCAAATTAGTGAATTCAATTCAGGAGAATTAAAACTAGAAAATATATATCTTATAAACTACAAATGCCAAATTCCGGACTATAACCAAAGCCATAAGCAGCTTCCTGAACTTCCTGCGGATCAAGAATGGACGATGAATGTCTGTTATCTAAAGCAGTTCTTTTGATAAAGCTATCATTATAAACAATGTTTGATGGGACATTATCTAAGTATAAAAAATTATTTTCTTTTGTATCAGTTACTTCACTAAGGTTAACTTCAGCTGAAAAAATAGATGGATTTTGATAACAACATAGAGAAGAGTTGAGTAAAGCAGCTGTAGCTGTATACGTTTCTTCATCCTCTTCATATGTTTTTGTTAAGTATTCACATCTGTTAGGGCAATTCTCCAAAATACTTTCCATTGGATTTACTAGCTTGGGTTCTTCAGTGCTATCACTATTTTGAACATTTGAGTGCAATATTGTTTCCGTTTCATGTAACTGAATATAAGATTTGTCATTACCCGCTAAACGAGAATCTATATTGCTAGGTAAATAAGGACTTGTTGGAAAAATACAAGGTTCTGGCTGAAAAGCATTTGAATTTCCAGCTTGACCATAATAACTTTGATGAACCTATAAAATATTAGGAAATACCCCTTCAGTGTTATAAAGAACTGAAAAAATGTAAAGCTTTCGCGATGTAGTTCTTAAACATTTTTATGCTGTTTATAATTAGGGAATTTTATTACTTACGACACAATAAGCTGTAATTACTAATATATCACTGTGATCTGATGGATATGTCAAAGTATCAGTCAAAATAATCTCAGCTGTAAATAAAGGATGTACGTCATCTAAAAATGAATAACAATTTTATGAAACACAATTTTGTCGTGGAACTGAAACAGATGTCTCGTCAAAAAATCATTCAGTTCGCACTGCGGATTGAATTTCAGTATTTGATTCACTTACCACCTCCTCTTTGTCGTCATTAATGCTTGTTGAAGTTAAAAGTTACCTCATTTAGTATAGACAGAGTTTTAAAGGGCTCAATGAGTTGTTCAGTTTCATTGCTTTTGCCAGCTTTTTGGTTGCAGATCTTTAAAAATAATCTCTTGTGAAAAAATAACCATTTTAATATTGATTTTAACATTATTGGATGCTCTTTGAGCATTCACTGATGTTTTCCTGTCTATGTAAAACTTTGTTCAGTTACATTTGTGTTGACTGTCCGAATCTTCTCATTGATATCTAAGACTGCTACTAACCAATCTTTTTTGTTGTATAACCGTTCAGTACGGATTAGATAAATATCTCCGCCGTTATGAGTTAGAGTTTGATGAAAGAACACGCAGCTTGATTTTGATTTGTGATTTTTCATGTGATACTGAAGGTTAATTCACAAATGTGTAAACCAAGCCATGTATTTCTGGCAAGGTACAACATGATGTTTTTCTGTGCACTCTTTTCTAAGCAACACAGTAGTAGACTGGATTATAAATGTACTGATAGTCATTATCTTACAGTAAAAGAACGTAGAGTAAACTCAGTTGGTTTATGCAAATGAGAATCAAAATTTATATTTTGATGAAACGTGGAATGGTTTAGATTCATTGTCTAGAAAATATTAGATTGTGTAGAAGACAGTACATTTATTAGATCTGGGTTGTACTTATGTATACTGATTTCTAAAAGTGATGTACTTTCGCTATATTACTTAAAATATAATTTGGTAAGTAAAACTGTACTTCAGGATTAATAATACCAACTTAAAGATAAATAATTAAATATCAGAGAACAGTATCATCGTGATTGTAAAATTTAATTATGATTTTAATTGCTTATCAGTAAAAATAAAACAAACCCCATTGAATGATTCTAGTATTTGTATTAAGCATCTTCCGAACTCTTCAATGATCACTTTCTCCTGAACAAACAGGGGGAGATTCTTATGATTGGCTTCTCTGAGTTGAGCTAATATGCAGCTACAGGCAGCTTCAGCTACTTCAAGTGTAAAAAACGTTGACAGTAAGCTTTAAAACTAAAATTATGTGAATAATATGACTTACGATGAATTTCTGTAAAAATGACTATATTGTAGGTCCGATATAGATGGATTTAATGTCCGGTCAAAAACCTGGTTAATCTGCGGTAGTTGCATTTGATTCTGTTTTTGACTAGCTGGATCTTGAATGTGCAAGTAAGTTGATCTGGATGAGATGAAAGTTCCATAAGAAAATCTTACTTTTTTTTCGGATGGGTATTTTCATGTATGGCATGAACATGTTCTTTTTGAGAATGTCTCTGCCTTCGATCTTCAGTGTTTTGACACCCTTGACATCGGCACAAATTCGAACACTTAACTTTTGCCTGTTAGTGTAAAAACGAATTATTAGCAAACACAAAACCTCATAGCACTCGCAATAGTTTTTCAAACAACGAGATTTCTTGCACATACATCCTTTAAAATGCCTGTTCTCTCCATCACCTAATGTAATTCATCTGACGACAAGCAATCATACCAGTCTTTAGATGAAATGCCGACGGATTTCTTTCCAAAGTGAGTTTTACAGCTTTTATGCGGTCTTCTTCATGTGAACAGTTGTTCATACAGTTTGTACAGTTACAGTTATCACAATGACTTCCTCGAGCAAAACATTCGCAGTATAGTTTAAGACAGTGAGATTTAACACAGTTACACGGTTTTGGATCAGGTACAGAAAATATTGGAAACGAATTGATTCTGTTTGATGTGTCCGATTCAGAAATATATGTTTGGGTGGAACAATTAAAACCATCTAATTCATTTTTAAAATAGTAGTTCTTAGTAATACATGTTAAAAATGCCATATAATATTACTTTTTCAGACTGTAAGCCATCAAACATTCCAGAAAAAACAAACTTCTCTGCTGAAACTGACTGTTCAGGACATGTAGATATTCACTCCTCTTATAACATTAGTCCTATTGATATGCGGGATCAAAAAAATATGAGAAAAGAAGCGCCTCGGTAACCAATATCCAATATCCAATACCTTTTCCGCGAGCTAGTATAAACCAATTCAATATCCAATATCTTTTTCCCGAGCTAGTATAAGCCAGTTGATTTAGTTGCGATCGATCTTTGTTGTTTCGGTACTGTTCCAGGTGTTCGGTAGTTCTCAATGAATGGGGTCTAGCCACTCGACTGTCTAATTCTAGTCAGTTGAAAGTTGGTTGTGAGATTGCTTGTTTCGGGATTTGAATGAAAAAGTTTGTTTCAGGGCAGTTGGGTTTCCGTCAAATTACCAGACGTGAGATCATTCAGTTGCAATATGGAGAATAATAAGGATAAAATTCTAATGCTAATATGATTAGAATTTCAGGACTAAGTAATGTATAGATGATTTAGTATATTAATTGGTAGTGAAGATTGTGAGAGAGAACCGAAGTGTAAGCAAGGGAGAGGAAACAGAGATAGTAGGCTAGATAGATAATTAAAGTGATCCGGGGAGATGACAATGATAAAAACTAGCAGGTCTCAAGATATGCATCATGAGCAGCTTGTCTAAGAGAGATGATAATCCCCATGTGAGCACGTGATTTTCAAGTATCTCCCCAAAGCTGTCTACTGAGGTGGCTGTGGTCACCTCGGCTGAAAGAGCATTCCAAGTTGCGACGATTCGCAACGAGAAAAAGTATGCACGAACCTCAGTATTCGCTCTTTGATATGCAATCTTTCGAGGATATGAGAAGATTAGGTGCACACGACCTGCTTTTCCGAAACCCGTGTTGAGCTTCATGGAGTATTCTGTTCTTACCCATGTACTCCTTCTTCTGTTCGTTCACCTGGAATTGATAGTCAGTAGCCCTGGTTCATTCATATATAACATGAAGACATTCACTCTCAAACTTAGATGCTTGAATGCTAGAACGGACAAAGATAGTTGTACCATCTTCCGATACATAGTATCTATCAGATCAAAAGTAAACGTAGTTACTTGCGCATGAAGAATGATCAGACAATGATCATTTTCACCTTCTTTCTGTTACAGGCACAATGCCTGGGTATACGGGCAATAAAAGGGTTTTAAGGTAAATGATTTTGTTGAAGAGAGAGAGGGCAGTGCACGAAATGATGAGAAAGTGTCACGTGTCATAAAGATGCAGGTCACAGAATAGACGGTGAGTAGTATTTCCATGAATATTCGTGCGATTGGTTAGAGCAAAAACTGTGTTTTCAGGACAAAGTAAATTCGGCATTAGTTAAAATGTACTTTGCGACAGCAAAGAACCATAGTGGACATCGTGGGAGCCAGAGCAGGAAGTTTATCAGGTCTGCGTGTTATTAATTAACCGCCCACAATTTAAAATATTTTTTTGTTTGACCTACGTTTAAAATGCTTTAAAAGTATATCGGAAAAGTTTAGGGTCCTGTCAGATTCAATTAAAATTTCGGGAGAACCGAAAGTTATCAGGCCTTTTTCCGATGGTTTCTGAGGTTCAAAAATATTTCTGTCTAATAAATAGTCACCTATCTAGTTTCTGCTACTGTATTTTCACAGTCATCATGACTGAGTGTTGCTCGAAAACTAATATCAACAGGACTCCTTATTGTCAGATCTAAATAACTGTTTTGATAGGAAAGAATATCGTTCAGATCGATATCCCTTTATTTTGTGTTTTGAGTTTCAGGAGTTTTGGTGGTAATTTTTTAGGGTCAGACATTCTTTCAGAATCAGCTGTAAGTCCATGACCTTGTAATTTGGAGGTTGTAGTTCATAGGAAAAGAAGGCTGATTACGAATGGTCGTGTCAACTTCCAGCTTCCCAGTGTTAACTGTATGTTTGCAGTGACTTCTGTCACCATTATTTCCTGTCTGAATTTGAGACCACCGTTTGTGATTTAACTCGTTAAATATGTTAGAAAAAGTGACTCCACTGGTGGAGAAAATTTGTAGCTCAGGTGGATGATTGTGGTGGCGTTGTTTTTGTTGTGCAGACTTCATTGTTCTTCTATCATCAGCACAAACTTCAGTTAGAAGTGAAGCATTCGAATTCCTCCAAGTTTGACCCGTAGCTTGTTAGATTTTGATTGGTTGCTGCTGACCTTACACCTGTCGTTGTTTGCACCGTTGTTTTGATTGTATCCACCTTTTGGTCTGTTTCTCAATCCTATGTCACCTATGATTTTTCTGATTGGCTGATAAATTGGGTCAATGTCCATGTGTTTGTTGATTGCTGATTGACCTGATTGCTAAGCTTCTAAAAATTCTCTAGTGTTCTTTGTCCTCCCCCTATCCAGTATTTCCACATTGTGCCAATCGAATATATGTCCATAAGTGTCAGTGCGTATTGATATCAGCGTTGTTTGATTCCTTTTCCATCTTGAATTTGATGTCATCGAAGACGTTGTTGATCTGATTGTAGATGTTCTCCAGCTCGTTCCTTTTGATAATGACGAATGTGTCGCCTACATAGCAAACCTACATTTTTGACTTGATCACTTGTAAAGTCGACGCTCCTAGTCTCTGCATTACAGCTTCCGCGATGTATGCTGATATTATTAATCCCATCGGTGTTCCTTTTATTTGTTCGTAGACCCAATTGTTGAAGTGAAAATACTTTGTTGAGTGTAGATCGCTGAGTTCTAGCAGACTTTGGCTCTGAGGTTTCGGACACTTCTGCAGATTTTTGTCGTTGGTGAGGAACGGGCAGGTTCCTTAGCTTAACTTGGCTCCAATACAGTAAATAAGTAGAGGGATATCATCGTTTCGTCTTTGTCGACTTCAGTCCCTGTGATTTTTTCCAAGAATTGTGTGGAGGATTTATTGGAGTATTTCAATTCACCCACTATGTTTTAATGTCCTTGAAATTTATCTTGACAAATTGTAGGTTGGCGTTCCGGGAAGGGATACAATAGGGCGTAGCAGAATTTTGGGTTTGTGGAGTTTCAGTCTACCGTAGAATCGTGGAATTACTGGTCCACTGGATTTCATCCTCCAGTGTGTCCTATATCTTCCCTGGTTCTGAGTTTCTTTAGGGCATTTTGTTGTTGTGTTGTTAGTTGGCTGTTGTTTCTATTCCGTCGAATTATAGGTCCTGTGGTTTTTCTTATTTATTGTTGAGTTTATTCACTACGTTTAGCTTCATGTCTAGCGAAAGGGGTTTGAAATGCTTCAAAAGCATAAATTGGAGTGATCAGTTGAAAAATCACATGTTAAATATTGACATTTAAGCTAATGTGCAAAAGTCTCTGTAGAACTCTGGAAGCAATTCGGAAATGAAAACCATGTTAGAAATGGTTACGAGAAAATAGTGAGTAGTTATGTAGTTGACAAATGAAAAAATGGAGGACGAATAGAAAGTCACCTTAGAGGTTTCTTATATGAAATAACTCTCTACGTAAAACGAAATTAAAAATATGCAAGTGTAAAAGTTTTTTATTTGGAAATATCAAGGGACTCAACTAAGTAAGAAAGATATTTTTTGAGTATGGAAAAAGAGGAATTCATTTCTCGGGAACGGCTTGTATTATGGTCTGCGGGCCAGTTGAAGGTAGCAGTTATAGGAGGAATGGAACGGAAAGATATGAGGGAAAATTGTGAACATTTTTCTTCAGGATTGAAAGAAGCAACTGAAATATATTCCACCAGATATTATTGCCTAGTCATTAAAGAACAAGTAATAGATCACTCTCAGATACAAGTCTGCAAAATGGAAAAATATTCATTTCGCATCACAGAAATGACTAGTGTTTGGTGGAACAGAAAATATTTAAAATACAACCAATGCACCAAACCACTGTGCTTTCCTTAATATATTCTGGAAATTCAAAAAATTTAATTAGTGGGTGCCAAAAAACCAACACAATCCCATTAGAACTAATCAATTAAAGGCTAGGCACCTAAATATATTTCATGAGAAGACCCGAATAAACTTGAATTTATCTAAAGAAAAACGTCTAAGGCCGTAAAACTGGGGTCTTGAATAAAAAAGGGTAGGATTCATACCAGTCTACCAGCTACTCTGTAGAATCTATTTTGAATGCTTTGTTTACGGAAAATACCTCCATGTATATATATTTGTGTTATGATATGACTGACTCTGTTGGTTGATGTTTTGGTAATCTATTTGATCCCACTTTGAGATTTTATCATTTGTATCTTGTTGTTATTTCTATATCTTGTACTTATATTGAAGTTTTTGTGTTTCCTTCTGGACTATATATGTGTTGTTTAAAATTGATACTTGATATGGCTACAGCCATATTTGGGTTAGATACTCTAGCAGCAGCTGACTTGAGGCACTTATTCTTCCAATAACGGAGCCTATTGTGGTGATTAGAAACTCGAAGGTGTAGTACTGTTTTGGTAATTGCTTGAATTTCCTCTTTTGATTAAATATAGAACCGTTCTTTCCCAGAATTATCGTTTTTGTACTTGGACTGGGAGAGACACGTGTAGACCTACACCTTTCGGTTTCAAAGCAGACTGCGAGAGTAATATATGTTCCTACAGTTCAAAACAATATTTGGAGGATGATCCTTTGGATATTTTATCGTTACCCAGTTCTAAACAATATTTTGAGAAAAATCATTTGGATATCTTATTGTTGACAAAAATTGAAGAAACGGAACCGGTGAAATTTAATATCTGATCTTTATTGTTTCAATAATTTGGAGTTTCTTTTCTGTTGAATTTCAAGTGCTAAAATGAGTTCTCGTAAGAAACCAAACACGCACAGGGATGGAGCCTATGAAGAATCACGGAATGCAAGGCAAGTACCTTATGATACTTCAGGTTTAAAGGGTTCACTCTCTGATATGGATGATATTATGTTTAGTACTTATTATCGTAAGCCATCGTTAGAGGGCACGAAGGGACGTAGTTTGGACGAGAACTGTGAG